TCGAGGGGCGGCCCCCCCAGTGCCCAGCACAGGGGCACGGTCCCTGCCCTGCTCCTGCTGGCCACACCACTCCTGATACAAACTGCAGGTTTGAATTTCAGGAGGAACAGTTCTGGCAGAGCCCATAGCATTGGGGTGCTGCTGCTGCCGTGACAAGGAGGTGTGAGGTTTTCTGTCCTCATGGTGGCTTCACAGCAGCGTGTGGCTTCCCGAGGGAGCCCCAGTGAGGCTGAGCCCGAGGATGGGCCTTGGGGCTGCCTTGGTAGGCTGAGCCCTGCAGAACCACGCAGAGGAGCAGACTCGCAGGCCGGCTGGAAGCAATCCTCTGCTGGCAGTGGTGGCTTTCCAGGCTTGCAGGGTCACTCCAAAACGCCTGGTGTTCCTCAGGGCATCCCAAGAGCCAGGCAGCCCACGATGGATAAAAGCACGAGAGTAACAAAAATGTCAGCGTGCAGCCTCACGAACAGGGCAGACACAGTGGGTGGAGGGAGAAATCACATTTACCTCTGTGCTCTCAAACCACTTGTAGGGTTTGCTGGTGACAGTGGTTTGGGGTTAAAAATTTCCAGGCAGAAGGGTGCTTTTGAGGCAAGCGGTGCCCCTATAGGAAAGGGGATTTCCTCTTCTCTACCGCAGCGAGCCCCGAGGCAGCGAGCGCAGCGTTTCTCTGCTTTGTAAGCAGCAGGAGATTTTGAGCTTGGACAAAAACTCCTGGACCAGAGTAAGGCTTCGCATTTGAAAAATTAAAAAAAAAGGAAAAAAAAAAAAAATAATGAAGGTGCACGGTCATTTGGAAAGGGCGACCCAGAGCTCTTGCCCTGGCTCGCTGCTGCGCGTCTGGCTGTCGCTTACCCAGCTCAGCTTTAGCCTAAGCGTGGGTCGCGCTTAAACTCCTGGTGGGGGAAAGTCTTAGCTCTTCAGAATCCTCGGGGGCCGCGGGGTTCAAACACAAACGGCTTTGGTTTACACCATGTCAGAACGTTACCGGGGATCAGAGGAGGGAGCGAGCGCCTTCCCCGGGGCTGGTAGGGCACCTAGCGGAGCCCGCGGGATGTTCAGGC